AGTCTGGAACGCCAGCAAGACGGATGCACCCATGTCTTATATAAGTGACAGCGAGTTGGCAGGAACACTACCGGGTAGGTCAATAAGGGCAAGCATTCCCGTTTCGGAAGGAACAGCAATCGCCCCGGTGCCTTCCATCATTAAGGTAGTATTTACGCCAAGCAGACCAAGTGGCTACGCAATCAGTGGTATATAGAGATACAAATCATACCGATGGAGACCCTCGCACTTTTCCTGTAAACCTAACTAAATACTTTCTCTCATCTCATCCGATCCAAGCTAACCATACAAACTAAGCATAACAGAACAGGATATATCAAACCCAAAACAACAACCAAGAAAAAAAGCATACACTCTGCCTCATTTTCTACCCACGTATAACATCAGTGATAAAAATCCATCAACCGAAAGAAGAACATCTAACCTATGAGACTACCATAGCATCCACGCACATACAACGAAGAACCCGAAAGTGAGCCCGCCTTCGTCGATCTACCCCACAACCCAACCCCATTCAATACCAATGTCCCAACCGCCTCATGATATAAACAAGAACCTAGGGCCACAAGAACCTAGGGCCACCCCGCGAGGAGACATCCACATCCACTTCGAAGCGAGACACCCTATCCCTATCATCGCGGTTACGGCGGCGGCCCCCTTCTCGGGGTCGTAGGTATAGATCTGGATGGTTGTGGGTGTGGGTATAAGTATGGATATGGGTATGAGTATCGTTCTGGTGTCGATGGGATCGAGAAGAAGGGTCAGCGTGCAGTCTGACAGTGCTGCAGGAGATATACTGCTCGCTATATCGGGGTCCGTCGAGGGGATAGTGGTGTTGCTGATGATGGCGATAGCTCGCGCTATCGCTGCTGTATCTCCTGTGGCGAGATTCATGGTGGTTGTTGATGTAATGGTAGTGGTCGTCGTCGTCATGGGTGCCCCTTTCGATCAAGCGGGTGGGAGATTAGGCTCGGGCGTCTGGGACAATGCAAGAACCATGCTAAGGAAAGAGAGGAAGCTTACAACCGAGAGGCAGATTGTGCTATCGCACCAGAGGCGACAGGGACGAAACAAGGTTCTGGACGGTGGCACAGCCGCGGAGCATTGCTGTTTGTTGCTGGATGATACTCGTTTTTGATCCGGTAATACACCTTGTTGGCGTGGTTGGTGAAGTGTTGTTCGAGGTGGTTTTGGTGGCGGTGGAGACGCTGAGTTGGATCGCGAGGCATGTTTGCTTGGTTTAGTAGCAGTCAGGGCCAACACTATCGCTCAAGTTGTGTATATTGAAAGCTGGAATCAATAGATAGGTGGTCGTCTACATATTTATTTCCAAGAGCAGAGGAACAGCTATATTTCCCGAAGCGGCTGAAGACAACAACCTCACCGAGCCTGGCCAGATTGTGCTACACAGGGTTCATGGCCGTGTAATACAGCATGTCATGTAGTTTGCCTTCTTCTTGCAAGGCCTGCCCGGGGTCTAGGCACTAAAAAAGAAGAATATGACGCCAAATCACCTACATTTCGATGTGGCGTTACTTCGGAAAAGTCGTAGTGGTATCTCAGCGCTGAATTCATGCAATCTTGCAGTAATGGGAATCAAGAGTGGAGTCAAAGCCTCCCTGCAACCAGCCAGTTATGCCCAATGTGTTTCACGGGATCATCACACAGTAAACTGATGCGGAGGGAGGTTTACTCCAACCTGTAGATATGCCCAGAGGACGTAGGTAGCTCTTTGCTATAGGTCATCGACGGGGCAAAGGGCCGGACCCATTCTTTCAGCACAGCCAGGAAGGTGTCACTGACAGCTCTCACGGTCTCATCGCGTGAAGTGCCAGAGCTCTCGATGTAGACTGAAATGGTCAGTCAGCAAATCAAAGTCCTCACTTGTGGACCTGAAACTCACTCTTCACTTTCGGCTCAGTGCCAGAAGACCGGAACGTGAATCGAACTTCACGATCAAGCCATAAAGTCAACATCTGACTGTTCTGGTCAATCGGGAGCTTGGGTTTGTGGTCCTGCGTGCCAGAGTCATATCCTTGTGTCATGTCTCGCCAGCGGTGGATTCTGAACGACCCAAGCGATTTTTCAGTCCGGAAGGGACCGGCTCTGATTGCATCGAACAAGCTCGCTGTAACCTCAGGGCTTGGGGACCGGAAGTAGGTGTTCAGTGTTTCGTGATGTCCATGCTCTTTGAACAGCTGTTGCAATTTCATATAGGGTGTCATGCCCTCGGCCTTCCACTTTGCCTCGGCCAGGAGGAACACCATCGCCGCGGAGATGCCATCCTTGTCGTAAGACACCTCGGGAAACATGTACCCAAGAGCCTCCTCGTAGGCAAACGGAACATAGTAGCCCAGCTCCTCGAGTCTGCGGGCTGTGTTTCCCATCCACTTAAAGCCCGTGAGAGACTCCTCATAGTGCATACCCTTCGCTTTGGCCATCTTCTCCAGCATGCTGGACGAAACGGCGGAGTTCAAGACTGCAACTCGTGTGTCACTGTCTATGGTTTCTAAGGAGTCAAACAGGTGTGACGCCAGGAGAACACCCAAATGATTTCCAGTGTAAATAAACCATGATCCGCTACACAAGAGGCATCGATTAGCGCAGAGTTTATAGCTCAGCCGTCAGTGATACTTACTCCACTTTCTCAGCCGCAGCAAACCGATCGGCATCTGGATCATGGGCAATCACCAGAGGTCTCCCCTCCTTGTCCGCAAGTTGCAAAGCCAGGTCTAGAGCGCCAGGCTCTTCCGGATTTGGGAAGGCAACTGTGGGAAAGTCTGGGTTTGGCTCCGCTTGCTCTGGCACGACGGTGAAATCACTTATGCCTACGGAACGACACAACCCAGGAAACACCAAGCCACCTACTCCGTGCAAGGGCGTGTAGACGAACGGCTGCGGCTGTTTCCATTCCCGGACGGTATAAGTCTGCAGACAATGTCAGCAGTGAAGAGCACGGCAGCACGGAAAATCACTCTTACAGCGTACTGCCAAACTGCCGTGTTGTAATGGGGCAGGATACTCTCGTAAATCTTGTCGCGCAGATATTCGCTTGGTTGCAGTTCATCCCAGGCAGTAGGCCATGGGACTTGATTCTCTTCGATGGATTGGGCTATCTCCACGTCCATCGGACTATTGATTTGGGCACCATTCTTGAAATAGCTGGGATTCGTCAGTGATACTCAAAAGTGGTTGGAATTGTGCGATCAGACACTTTGTAGCCTGTAGCACGATCAGTCAGCAATCATGGTCTCGAACAAACAAAGAGATGAGGAAGAGACGGCGAAGGCCTACCATTGTCCTGCGCTGGATTCTGCAGGTGGAAAATTAGCCACCACGGTCTAAGCTGCCCAATTAACATGGAACAAAAAGCTTACATGGCTTGCGGTAACCATAATGCCTGCAGCAGCGTGCAGATGGGTTACACCGAAAGGGACGGTTGGAGTAACCGAGGACTCCGAATAGAACCAGACCGGGATCTGCTGCGCGATGAAGGCATTGGCAGCCAATGCGGCGAACTTATCCGAGTGATACCGCGCATCGTGGCCGATGACCACACCGTAAGATGCGATGTCGCCGTGGCGGGTTTTCAGGTACTTTGCTAAGCCTTGGGAGGCCTGAATGACGGTCAGGGAGTTCATACAAGAGAAACCTGCTGCCATCCGTCCCCGCAAGCCCGCAGTGCCGAACTGGATGCCTGCGATAGACGATTAGACATAGCTATCGTGAGGGAGGCATGCCGCATGTGCCACAAAGGCCAATGGATTTTCAAGAGAGGGATTCAGTAGGATGTCAAGCCCAGTCCTGACATACGTTTTTGCAAGCGCAGGGCTAATTCAGCCCACTCCCCGGAGTCCCGAAGCTGTTCAATTTCGGCACGGGTGGATGGATCCTGTCATGGGGCGTTAACATTCACGTTTCAAGATCCGCAGCAGAGCCTATCGATAAACATACCTGGTCCCACTCCAGCCACCTTTGGATCAGTGGAGTGAGAGCCTCCTACGCAAACGACAAACCAAATGGAGTCAGAAAATAAGCTGATTTCGGGAAGCCGTGGGTTGCCGGAGAAAAAATAACTATACCTCTTGTGGATTGGTGGGCATGTTGGATCATACGACGAGGGGACAACCAAAAAGAATAATAATGGGGTGAGATGATCGGAATGTGTTCACGTCGGGAAGAAGACCGATGGTGGAAGGGGGGGGAAGAAGAAGGAACAAGTAAAGGGGAAAGGAAGCACGGAGTACGGGAGTAGATGGGGTATTGAAAGGGGAAAGAAATTCAAGCGAGGATAAGTTAGCTAGCAAACAATAATAATCAGCAACGAGAATACAAAGAGAACAAAAGCTTTGACAAGTAATGACAAGTCAGGTTACTGAGTTAAGTCATCAAGATTGTGTTGGTGTGGGGGAGAAGGAGGAGGGGGGGAAATTCAAAAGGAGGAAAAGGCAAAGCAGCACAGTATGAATTCAGGTTGAAGATGGAGAGAGACACAGGGAGAGAAAGAGAGTGGCTTTGGGCGGGATGTCTGGATCCGGTGACGATCGGCGGCTCTTCCCGCCCTGGACTGTTTTATTCTTAGCTGCGGTTGTAACTGTTATTACTGTTGTTACTGTTGTTAACTAATTAGTTAGTTAGTGGCTGTTGTTGACTACTGTTCCACTACGGAGCACTACGTACTGTTTAATTGCTTGGTGCTTAGTGCTTAGTAGTTAGTCTCCGCCATTCTTTCCGCCGGGCCTCTTTCAAGTTTCAACATCCAACCCGCGCGTCCTTGCATTCTTCTTCCCTCTCCTCCTCCTTCTTTCTCTCACTCTCTCCTTCTCTCTCTTCTGTTCTATCTCTTCCTCGCCTCCTCTTACCCCTTCTAGATTATCTCTCCAATCTCATTTTCACCACCTTTCCATTCTCGATTGGCACTACCAGCAATACAATGCTCTTTCTCACTGACCGTTCCTAAATATCCACGACCCGCAATTGTGTTCACCGCGCAGGCAGCAATGGCCGCAATGGGGAAGAGTCCTGCGACCCGGAGGGAAACCCTTCTCTCGCGCCGCTACATCGAGGGCCTTATCGCAGATGGGAAACAGATCATCATCTTCGACGATCGTGTCCTGAAAGTCGACGCTTGGATTCCCTATCACCCCGGAGGTGATAAATCCATCAGACACATGGTCGGAAAGGATGCAACGGATGAGATCAATGCGTACGTGGCCTCGCGCTTGGGCCATACTTTGCCTTGGAACTTTAACTGATCGTCTGCATGAATATAGATTACACTCCAAGGAAGCGCGTCAACGCATGCTATCGTTCCAGATCGGCCGCATCCAGGGTCCATGGTTAAACTTCCTGCCTCCGTTCCAGGGCGGGAAGTTCCGTCCCTACACCGAAGATTGCGTCTCCGATGACGAGAGTTCAGGCCAGGAGAGTTCCGGACAGGAAACGTCACAGCCTCCGTCCCCGATCTTCGACGCAGTAGATTCGACTGCGTCTCTTCGCCAGCGAAAGGCCCCCCACGCCGAAACCCCGGATTCAGCTGCACCGCTGGAAGACGAGTCCAAACCCAAACCCTTCTTTCTCGATGCGCGCACCCGGGAAGAAATCATCTTTGATACTGCCAAATATCCCTCCCTCGACGCAGCAAATCAAGACAAAATTCGGCAGCGATACCGTCAATTAGACCAACAGATTCGGGCGGAGGGTTTGTACGATTGCCGCTACTTCTCATACTTCATCGAATGTTGCCGGTATACACTGTTCGCGGGCCTGTCATACTACTTCCTCCATCTAGGGTGGTATGGAACGTCTGGGTTCTTCTTGGGATGCTTCTGGCACCAGCTTGTCTTTACCGCCCATGATGCTGGCCACATGGGTATAACGCATAACTTTCACTTCGATTCGGTGATTGGTATTATTATCGCCGACTATCTGGGAGGATTGAGTCTCGGGTGGTGGAAACGGAGCCATAACGTTCATCATATCGTGACCAACGCCCCCGAGCATGATCCAGACATTGAGCATATGCCGTTCTTTGCTATTTCCCACCGGTTCCTCACCAGTCTGCGCAGTACATACTATGACCGCGTGATGACCTTCGACGCTGTAGCCAAGTTCATGCTGCGCTTCCAGAACTATCTCTACTACCCTATCCTACTCTTTGGGCGATTCAACCTGTACCGTCTAAGCTGGGAATATCTATTCATGGGCCAAGCGCCGAAGAAGGGTCCTGCCTGGTGGCATCGCTGGTTCGAGATCGGCGGGCAGGTCTTCTTCTGGTATTGGTTCGGCTACGGTGTGATGTACTGCACCATCCCCGACTGGAAGAGCCGGTTGACCTTCCTCATGATCTCGCACATGGTCACCTCGCCCCTCCACGTGCAGATCACCCTCTCCCATTTCGCCATGTCCACATCCGACATGGGGGTCACCGAATCCTTCCCGCAGAGAATGCTGCGCACCACCATGGACGTAGACTGCCCGACTTGGCTCGACTGGTTCCACGGCGGCCTGCAATTCCAAGCCATCCACCACCTGTACCCGCGCATTCCCCGCCACAACCTGCGCCGCACGCAACGGCTGGTTCTGGATTTCTGTCGCGACACCGGTATCCCCTACACCATCTTCACCTTCTACGATGGCAACAAGGAGGTCATCGGCAAGCTCGGCGATGTGGCCAAGCAAGTCCGCATTCTGGAGGAATGTCGAAAGTCGTGCGCCCAGCAGGGGGTCTTCTCGGATCACCATTAGAACACAAACTCACTGGAAATAGACGGATGCTGATATTCGGTGGTTTTAAAAAAACCTGATGTGGGTTTGTTCTTGGGCGGTATGGTATGTAGACGTAGAACTGCTTTTGTATATAGTTCAGTCCCCTTGGCCAGACACACAGACACGCATGTACATGTACACTTGGACGAAGGACTTACCGTTACGGATTGGTGTTTTGGATGGCCACTTATGAAGAATCTGACATTTCTAATGACGTGATGTATGGTTGGACTGAAGTCTTTTGGTCGTTCGATAAGTTAGATTGTTGTGACTTGTGCTGGGAGCATCCTACATGATCTTCCATTACCTTCTCTATTAGAGTGTAACTTATGTCTCGCTCATGCTACCAGCAGCGTGACATAAGCCCAGGCGAATTCTCCTCTAAATCCAGGGTATCATATATACTGCAGCCCGCGATTACATCTACCTTCCCATCTAATATTCGTGTGATAACAACATAACTAACCAACCAAGCCCCCGGCCCTCGCCACCTTCTTCGCCCTCTGCTGCCTCCGATTATGATTCGCCCGACTAGCCTTATTCTCCTCTTTGCGCTGCCGCGCCGCAGCGGGATTCTGTTGACTGTCCCCTGCGACAGCACTGCCACCACCAAAACCACCACCGCGTCCGCCACCTCGCCCTCTCCCACCTCTCCCTCTGCCCCTACCACCACCACCACCCCTCCCTCTCATCGAGGCTATCTCACCCCCACTCCCACTCCCACCCTCCGCATCTTCATCCTCAACACCGCGCCGATAAGCCGTGGAGACCAACGCCGGCTGATTCAACCCCCCGTCTCTTCCCCCCTTGCCATCCAACACCGCCTCCTCCAACCGCCTCAACCGCCTCGGATCCCGCGCCACCATCACCGCCCACCCCTCGATCGCCTCGTCGGTCATCCCGGTCTCGCGCTTCAGCGCGGCGCGGGGCTGCGCGCGCCGCGTCGCGGAGTCGCGGGCGAACAACGCCGGGTTGGATTGGTAGGCGCGGTAGAGGGTGAGTTCGGTTTCTTCGGCACTGGTGGTTGTGGCCCTGGGGGTTTCGTCCTCGGCAGCGGCGACGGTCGTGTCCACCGTGCCGCCGACGTCGGTCACGTCGTAGGTGTCGTCGCGTTCGTCGTCGTCGGAGTCGAAGGTGGCGAGGGCGGACATGATGGCTGCTTTTTGGGCGGCGTGGTTGGAGCGGTCTGACAGTAACGAGTCGGCGGTGAGGGTGGGGTTGGCGCGGCCGAAGCGGAGGGATTGTTGGTTTGAGGTGGTGTCGGAGCGGGAGAGTTCGGCGAGGTCGATTTCGCTGTCGAAGATGTTCTTGCGCTGGGGTGGGGGCGCTGTTGTTGTACTGGGTAAGGTTGGGGAGCGTGGGGGGAAGGGGTCGTGGTGGGTGGTATTTGATGAAGGGGATGGGGTGGGCAGAGATTCGGATTTGTCGAGGATTTGTAGTTCGGGGGTCAGGGAGTCGTCGAGGAGGTGCGCGACGATGGTTTCGGGGTCGTCGTTGTAGTGGTCAAGCAGACGCGCGATGTAGCCGGTGCCCAGGTCGGGAAAGAGGTCTTGGACTTGCGTGATGAGGGACATCTTGTGGATATGGAGGTCCTCGGCGGCCTTGGGCAGCAGGTCGTCTTTCGTGGCCCGGCCTTTGCCTTTGTTGACGGCGGCGGTGCGTTTGCGCGGTTTCTGGTAGCGGCGGTGTAGGTGTTGCGTTTCGGCTTGGTATGCGCGCAGGCTGGTGAGGAGGTCCTGGCCGCGCTTTTGAGGGTTGACATCTGTGCTGAGGTGGCGGTCGAGGCGGCCTAGGAAGTCGGTGCTGCAGATGACCTCAGACAGCAGGGTGGGCTCCTTCTTCGTGCTGCTACCAACCCCGGCGCTGGCTTTCATCCCGTACAGCTGATCCAGGAGCGACGACAGGTTGGGCTTGGAGCTCTTGAGAAAGGAACACAGCCCCACGTAGACATTCGCCACGAGCACTTTGCGGACGTCCTCGCGCTTATGTGCTTGATATGCGTCTACTACAGTATCGAGGAAGTCGGAGCCGGCCATGAGCACCTGGCCGCAGCCGGGCAGGACCGATGACAGGATCGTCAGAAGTCTGAGATCCACTAGCACCCCGGAAGGTTTGCTGAGGTTCAAGGATGAGAGATCCCTGATTGCTTGGGCCTTGGCCTTCTCCAGGCTGGACGTGATCGCATCCTCATGCTTGTCCCATGCATCAGCCAGTAGCCTCTTCAATGCGGAGCTCGAGGGGTAACAGCAACACATGCCAGCAAGAACCCTCCAATCCACAAGCTCCGGCGGGGTGGGCGAGACCTCGAGGAGAAGCCTCCGCGTGAGGAGAAAGCATAATTTCCGCAATGAGCGTGTGTTCGGCGCCGTCTGAGACCGGAATAAGCTGGAGTTAATCGATAGGCGGTAGAAAGAAGTCAAGAATGCCACTGTAGACTCGTCGTTCAAGGCATGCTCCTTGAACTGAGACGCGGGAGCTTCAACGCGCAAGCCCAGAAGCATGATCCAAGCATCTATATAGAGCTCCCATTCCGCGGGTGGGATGTTGCGCTGCACCTCCGGAGGTGGGACCGGCGCAAGCGGTGGTAAGCCCGGCATGACTGTGAGTGTGTAATTAAGCGTAAGCAACGGTGAAGGGCTGGTGATTCAAGATCGCAACAATGGCACGGAAGTCTATAGCGAAGGACAGATATCATGAATCATCAACATCATCACTGGTCGTTGCAACAAGACATCATCATCGGGCTCCATCATCGCCCGCCGCCGGACCATCTTGGCTTAACCCGATCCAGACGCCGCCGCGGAGTATCTGCTGACTCAGCCGCGGTCGCGCTCAATGCGGGTTAGCGGTTGATAGGCGAGGATGCCAAGGCCAGCACCCGCACAAGAGCCGCTAAGCGCACGATGAAAAAAAAATAGAGGGAGGTTTGATTTCAATCTATTAGTCCGCGAATAGCTACAGACCCTCTTCAACAAGCCATCATCACCTTACCGAACCCCCGAAGTTCAGGTCTTGATTGGTAGCCAGCCTCACCTTACGGTATGTTCTCTTTCCTCCTTTTCTTCCTCTCTGTGAACGACAGCTGATCTAACCTCCCCCCCTCCCCTCCACAGCCATCTCAATCCCACGGTCTCACCCCACCGCTCAATACATTCAAGATGTCTTTCCAGAAGCCCGAGAAGGATTTCGGCGAGGGCCCCGTACGTTCCTCCTCACTACTACTCGCACCTTGCTGTCTCGTCGCAAAGACACGCATGGGGATAGCGACTTGATACAAAGAGAAACGGAAACATGCGACTAACATCATCTTGCTTTTGGCTGGTCTACAGAAGGTCCACAAGATCCGCATCACCCTTACCTCTCGCAAGGTCGCCTCCCTCGAGAAGGTCTGCACTGAGCTGATCGACCGTGCCCGCTCCAAGTCCCTCCAGGTCAAGGGTCCCGTCCGTCTCCCTACCAAGACCCTTCACATCTCCACCCGTAAGACCCCCAACGGTGAGGGTTCCAAGACCTGGGACAAGTACGAGATGCGCATCCACAAGCGCCTCATCGAGTAAGTTTCTTCTCACACGACCATTCGATTGACAATGCACCTGGAAGGAGACTAACGTGGAAACCCCAAAGCCTCCTCGCCCCCACCGAGACCGTCAAGCAGATCATCATCAACATCGAGGCTGGTGTTGAGGTTGAGGTCACCATTGCCGCTTAAATGCGTGTCTAAACTCTTCGTTGAGACTGGTGACCGTGGCGGCAGCGGCGTCGCCGACGATGTGCTCGTCTGGCTTCCTGGGAGAGATTCCGCTTCCAGGCCTGTACCAAGCAGTTGTCGATACCCGCTTAAACCTGGCATAAAAATGAAAAACTTCTAAAAAACGCGTAATCACGAGTTCTCTGCGGATATTGTAGCTTGTCCAAATGCTCTTAGGCTGTAATCCCGATCCAGTGTCAATATCCTGTCCAATCCAACCTGGACGCCATTCGTCTTTGGGAATAATAAGTAAGCAGCTATTTACAATACAGAGACTAGATATAATAGTCTAGTCCGTTCCCCCGCCCGCTTCACCTGTCCCACTAGAAGTCGAAGCTCACCCACTCGGTCTTTGGCGGTACGCTCGGAATGACCCCGTTCTCGAAACACCCATTCGTCACGAAGTACTCGTACTGTTGTGTAACCTCTGCCGTGTATTCCTCGGGCCGTGCCTGAGCATCCCTAAGACTAGCTTCATCAGGTGGCCCGTCTGGGAAGAAGATGCGGACGTAGGTTTTACGATCCTGCGGATGAAGATAGCACGGTACGTCGTTGATATATGTCACGGGTTGACCCTTCCAAGAGGTGAGCCTTCTTGTCATAGGGTCACGAATCGTCTGTCCGTTGAGAGGTGGAATGGGGCTGAGCTCGCTTGGGTTTCTCGTTCTGAGGACAGGGGCTGGCCCAGGTCCCAATGGCGCAGTAGGAGCAGCAGGGGCCGCCGGGGGAGCCGCTGACGTTGTCGGTATGCCGAACCCGGTAGCTGCCGGCGTTGATGCTGCGCCGAACCCGGAAGCTGCCGGCGTTGATGCTGCCCCAAACCCAGAAGTTGCTGGTGTCGATGCTGTCCCAAACCCAGAAGTTGCTGGTGTCGATGCTGTCCCAAACCCGGGAGCCGCAGGAGCCCCGAACCCAGGCGCTGCTGGTGTACCGAACCCAGGCGCTGCGGGCGTTGATGCTGCTCCAAACCCAGAAGCTGCTGCCGGCCTCGCAGCGGATGCTTGCTGGCCCAGCTGCGCGAAGCCAGACTGGCCAAATGCTGGCTCGGCTGGTCGTTGGTTTGTGGCTCCAGAGGATGGAATTGCTTGGCCAAATGGGTTTGATGGCTGTGCACTAGCAAAGGGTGATGCGGATGGTTGACCAAATGTTGACGCACCAGATTTTGCATTCGCAAACTGCGCAAACGGGGATGGCGTGGATGCAGATGCGCCAAAGCCGCCAGATGCCTTACCAAACGGAGACGCTGTGGCTCCTGCAGCTGAAGGCTGACCGAAGGAAGGCTGGCCGAACCCAGGTGCGGGTTGCCCAAATGCCGGTTGGCCAAAAGCCGATTGTGCGGAGGGCTTGCCAAAAGACGAGCCCTGGTTGAAGGCACTTGGTTGTCCAAATCCAGTTGCATGTGCAAGATTTGAAGGTTGACCGAACCCAATTGGTGGAGCAATAGATGGTTTGGCGTATGCTTGATCACCCAATAAGGCTGGCTCACCGAAGGCTGGACCTGTGGCAGGGGGAGCCTTGATCTCACCAAACAGCTTAGGCGGAGCGCCGAAAGTCGTGCCGGCCTTGTTGTTCACAATGTCAATTCGATTCGGATGCTCCTTGGCACCGTCTAGAATATATCTGACAGCTCCATCCAGGTCCCTCAGAGCGTTTTCCATTTGATTTCGTGCCTCGTTGTGGAGACCCTGGGCTTCTGAAACTGCTACCTCAATTGGGCTACCTTGAGCGACTAGTTCATAATGACGGAGTCGTAGTTCTTCGAAGCTCTGTTCTCGCTGGGGGCCTCCAAATAGCTGCCTGGGAGCATCTCTTCCGGGGCCATAGCATGAAAAGATCCATTCGGGGAGCCCCTTGCCAGGAGTCAGGTCTACTTTGATATCTGCTGCAGTGATCCCATATCTGGCCGTGTTTAGTGCGCATTCTTAGAGTTCGAGGCATGATGTACTCACTGTGCATTTTGCTGATTTTGCCCACCACGACCTATATAGCAATCAGCAATCGCGTAATCGTGGAAAGTCCGTTGACGGCAGCAAGTAGAGAGACGAGGTGAGAAGTAACGAAATCAATGCAAGAGCGACAATCTCAATCAGACGAACAAAAAGATTTACGTCAGACACAAAAGTACCATGAATCACCAAAATGATCAAGAACAAAATCACAAGCATTTAGGGGAAAGGTGCATCTTGCGCATGGGCAAGACGATTCACATACCTCCACCTCCGCCGCCTCCGCCGCCGCCGCCGGAGAGAGCTGCGAATTTGTTCCCGCCTACTGTTTGCTTGCCGGGGTGCTCATTGTAGCATCTGTCTGTAGGTCAAATTAGTAATGTGTCCGTGAGACATGATTCAGAGTCAAGACAAGCCAATTCAAATTTAACAGACTAAACAAGCTCATACCTCCATATTTACACCGGCCTTTCAAGAAATGCTGGCAAACGGGCATGTTGCGTTCGCGTCGGGCGTCCTCACTCGGCCAGTAGGAGCATACGAGAACGTCCTGTCGAGTCTTCGTTCGCGATAGCGGCCTCTCAGAGCCTGTCCGTTGGTTCTCGATAGACCAAATCCAATCTATGTATATTTTCTATTGAAGAAGAAGAAGAAGAAGAAGAAGAAACACAAGTCAACTGAAAGCGATCCAAGATTCAAGAATTCTCGCAGTTCTTCAGCGTCCAGTGACTTGCGAACGAACAATTGATATTCTTTGTTGCAAATGAAGAGTTGTTCCGGTGACAGTACGTTTCCCCGACCCGGACTCTGTTCGCCGCCTTCTGGCAACATTTGCCGTATTTGGCTTGTACCGGCATTACATTCATAGCACTCCTTGCACTTATCATCACCTTTCTGCTTGTGCTCTGATGGGCTGTTATTTCCTTGCTTGTTGCAAAGTGCAATCATACATTTACATGCTCGAAGAATTTTTCGCCCTCTATGAGTGTCGAAGTTCATAGTAGTCATTACCACGCCTGTTGTTTATGCACAGTAAGTAGGTCATATAGAGGAACAACAGCAACCATGTGCTCTAATCGTTATGCCAATGCATCATAAAATTACATTAGTCCCCAGGTGAACTCCTATGCTCCGAGCAAAATCCCATCAAGTTGGCTTCGAGACAAATTGTGGCCAGCACCGACGCTGTGCCTCAGGACCGTTGGTTAGCCCCTTTGGTCGACGATACGAGTTTCGAATGGGCCAGGCTTTGGCGCAGAACGTCCCAGTTCAATCCATCGACCTTTTCCCCACCCAGCGACTCAAGGTCGGTAGACAAACCATTCAACTTCCCTGTCGCTAAGCGTCGCATCATGACCGTATCTTTATGGCCATGAAGCCCCCGGGCATTGCCCCGGAGCAAAGACTCCTCGAACCATTCTTCCTCCTGCTCATCGAACGGGAGACCGATCAATTCCATAGCCCTCGCACTTCGCGCGGGGCCGGCCTCGCTCGTCAGGACAAATTCAATGAGCTTCTCCAGGTAGCTCTGACGGAGCTCTTCATCATGCTTGCGCGTGAAGTAGAACGCTTCGGTTACGCTTGCGCGGCACATGGTCTGGAAGAAGGCCCGCTGAACCTTCTCGGTAGCCAATGGCGGGGCCACGGTAAGGTAGTATGCCATGACAAGGCTGTCGTCGTGTCTGGGGAGGTTTGGAAGGGTTAAAGCGTAGAGGATTTCGTCGGGAAATGTGGGGATAATGGAAGGCTCAGTCAGGTATTCGACAGCTCGCTACTCATAGGCAATGGTCAGTCATGCGCAGTCGGCCATCGGCGAAGATGAAGCGTACCTTGAACTCCAATCTGTCAAGGTTCCAGAGACCGTCTATGAACAGCCTATACTTCTCCGGTAGGTGACACCGGCGGGAGAACTGCGTAGCCGCATCGTTGCTGGCGCCGCGGCAGTCTTTGAGGATGTAGTATATCAACGATTGCTTGTGATGGATGTCGAGTGGTGAGGATACGATGTGTCCGATCAGTGTGCGCAGGTCAGTGTTCGACCGAGGAGGGTAGAGCCGCGTGACTATCAAATTGTGCCTGGTCAATCCTTTTGTTTGAATTTCCAACCTTGGGGAGCGGAGAGAGCTACCTGCTTTGACGCCGAGCAAGCCCAGGAGTCTGTCTGCAAAAAGCCGGTCCTCTAAGGCGCGGCGATTTGAGATGATCTGTTCAATGAGCTTGCCATCGTAGCTGAAGTCCTTGTTGAACTGAAAGATGGAATCGAAATCCTCCCAAGGCGCCATCTTGAGCAGTGCTGGCGAGTTGAACACACTCCTCTGGAATCTCCTCGAGCGCCGACGGTAATATTGAAGCCGATATTGACAGTACCGTACGGCTCGATTGGTACGTGAAGGCGGTGGGGCATGTGACTGAAAGATGCAAATGTTGTGGCAGAAAAAACAACACTATTCCGCTTCGGGCGGCGATGTAAACAACCCACTTTCCACCTGCGGCGCTTTGAAATGTCAACTTTGGCACCTGCACAACGCTTGAGATTCCGTCTTGATGCAGCACCCACAGGCGACTAACAATAGTACAGTATAATGTCGTCAATTGCCAGAGGCCGGCCATCCCGGCGCGCTGCCCCTCGCAGAAGTTACGTCCCAGAAGAAACGCCATCAGACGAGGAAGATCCTGGAAATGTCACCCCCACCGCGCCGTCCCGCCACGGGGATGATGACGACGAAGAGGAGGGCGAACGTACTCCGGTCCCCAAGAAGCCCAGCGCAGTCAAGAGATCATCACGCAGACAAGTCATCGCCGAACCGCCTGTTTCCACATCGAGTGCCGCCCGCACGACACGCAGACCCCGCAAGTCGAGGACGGTGGACCCGTCGGAGTCGTCGCAATTGATTGATGAAGGCGAAAGTTTTGCCAGCGTTCAAGAGCCCGAAATTTCATCTACAATGAGCGCTCCTCGCGCAACGCGCAGATCACGCACGTCGAGGACGGTCGACCCATCGGAGTCTTCGCAGTTGATGGATGAGGGTGAAAGTTTTGCAAGCGTCAGAGAACCAGAGGAGCCCACTACATCGAGCGCTCCTCGCACGACGCGCAGGACCCGAAAATCGAGGACAGTGGAGCCGTTGGAGTCGTCCCAGTTGATTGAGGAGGGTGAAAGTCTGGCTAGCATCAGAGAAACAGAAGGACCCACTGCATCGAGCGCTCCTCGTACTACACGCAGGGCCCGCAAGTCGAGGGCTGTAGAACCATCGGAGTCCTCGCAGTTGATAGATGAAGGTGAAAGTCTTGCAAGCGTCAGAGAACCGGAGGATCCGTCAACAGCTGCCCCTCGTCGCAGAACACGCAAATCAAGGGCAGTAGAGGCGTTGGAGACATCGCAGTTGACTGGGCCTAACGAAGAGGGTGAGAGTGTTGCGACCGTGAGAGCACCGGGCTCTCCGTCTGAGGAAATCCCCGTTGCAGTGAAAACAAAGGGTATGATCTCACCCCGCGAAAGTCGCATCTCCCTGCCCAATTTGGACCATATCTCATTTTCCAATCTAGAGCCCTCCACATCCCCGCAGCCGCAGCCTCGAATGCAAAGAGAAAGCGTTCCGCCACTCGCCGATATTACAGATGCAGCTGTGAACAAGTCCCCGTCGAAGTCGCCATCGAAGTCCGTTGAAGACGAAAAGCCGCAGATACCCGCAATCAACCCGAATACAACATTGCTCGAGAAGCCCATGGACATCATGCTCAAATCCCGATCAGCCGCTCCGTCGGCCTCCCAGGAGCCGTCAGGTCCGACCAGTCGCTTGATGATCACTACCCTGGTCATGATGAATTTCAAGAGTTACGCCGGAAAGCAGATCGTGGGCCCCTTCCATGCATCCTTTTCCTCCGTTGTCGGGCCCAATGGATCCGGTAAGTCGAACGTCATCGATGCCTTGTTATTTGTTTTCGGATTCCGAGCGAGTAAAATGCGTCAAGGCAAGATCTCGGCTCTGATCCATAGCTCGGCCAATCACCCAAACCTGCCCTCCTGTGAAGTTGAGGTTCATTTCCAGGAGATCCTTGATCTGCCCAACGGCACCCATGAAGTAGTCCCAGATTCCCAACTTATTATCTCCCGAAAGGCTTTCAGAAACAACAGCAGCAAGTACTATATGAACGCCAGAGAAACGAGCTTCACCGCCGTGACGACGCTGCTCCGTGACCGAGGTATTGATCTAGACCACAAACGCTTTTTGATTCTTCAGGGTGAAGTCGAGTCTATTGCCCAGATGAAGCCTAAGGCTGCCAACGAACACGAGGATGGACTCTTGGAGTATCTGGAGGACATCATCGGAACTTCGAAATACAAGACGCCTATCGACGAGGCGGCTACGGAACTCGAGACACTGAACGATGTCTGTGTCGAAAAGAATAACCGTGTCCAGCACGTTGAGAAAGAAAAGGTTGCCCTCGTAGACAAGAAGGACAAGGCCCTGGCTTATATTCGGGACGAGAACGAGCTTTCTGAGAAACAGTCCGCTCTCTATCAGATCTACATTGATGAATGTGCGGACAACATTCGAGTCACCGAAGAAGCCATTCTACAGATGCAGGAATTGCTGAACATGGAGCTCGAAAAGCACGAGGGTAACGAGTCCGGGATCAAAGAGCTTGAGAAGGCCTACAAACGCGGAATGCGAGAATACGAAAACATGGAGAAAGAGGTGCAGGCGATTGCCAAAGAAATGGCCAAATATGACAAGGAGAACGTCAAGTTCGAGGAGAAAAAGAAGTTCTTGGTCGGCAAGCAGAAGAAGCTAGAAAAGACCATGCAAAGCACACGCCTGGCCGCTTCCGAATGCGAAAGCCTCGTGCAGAAACACTCTGATGATATCGAGAAGAAGACGAATGAGACCTCTGAGCTTGAGAAAGAGATGAAGGCTGAAGAGCAGGAGCTGGCCGAGATTCGTGAAAGCCTCAAGGGCAAAACCCAGGGACTTTCAGATCAGATCACTGCGAAGCAAAAGTCGTTGGAGCCTTGGGATGAGAAGATCAACAAAAAGCTCTCGGCCGTCGCTGTGGCGCAGAGTGAGCTTGACATCCTTCGCGAGCGAAGCAATGCTGGTACTGTTCTGCTCGAGGAGGCGCAGTCGAAGATCTCTTCCATCGAGGAAACGCTGGCAACCAAGGAAAACGATCTCGAGGAACGTAAAGCTCAGAAGGCTACCCTTGAAGAAGAGGTTGCTAAGCTGAAACACGACCTCAAGAAATATGCTCAGAGAGAGCCAGAGGTACGAGCCCATGTCTCCAGTGCTCGACAGAGGGCCGAGGAGGCAAGAGCCAGTCTTGCAAGCACTCAGAATCGTGGTAGCGTTCTGTCTGGTTTGATGCGCCTCAAAGAGTCCGGTCGTATTGAGGGCTTCCACGGTCGGCTTGGAAACCTCGGTATGATTGATGAGAAGTTTGACGTTGCTATCTCGACCGCGTGTCCTGCCCTGGACAACATGGTGGTTGACACGGTTGAAGTTGGTCAGCAATGCATCGATTATCTGCGGAAGAACAACCTTGGTCGAGCCAACTTCATCCTACTCGATCGCCTCCCGCGCCGGGATATGTCCAAGGTCTCTACTCCAGAAAAGGTCCACCGACTCTTTGACCTGGTCAAGCCCAAGGACCCCAGATTCGCTCCAGCTTTCTACAGTGTGATGCAGAACACGCTAGTCGCCGAGGACCTGGAACAGGCCAACCGCATTGCATATGGTGCGAAGCGGTGGCGCGTTGTAACCCTGAATGGCCAACTCATCGACACTTCCGGAACGATGAGTGGTGGTGGTACCCGAGTCGCACGGGGCGCCATGTCGTCCAAGCAAGTCGCTGACACAAGCCGTGAGCAGGTGGCCAAGCTTGAGGGTGATCTGGAAGAGACGGAGAGGAAGTTCCAACACTTTCAGGAGAAGCAACGACAGATGGAAGCTGCAATCCGGGAGAGAATGGATGAGATCCCGCGAGTGGAGACCAAGATCCAGAAGATCCTGATCGAAATCGAAAGTGCCAATCGCAGTCTTGCGGATGCTCAGCGTCGCGTCCAAGAGCTGAGCGCCGAGCATAAGCCGTCCAAGACGGATGCCAGTCGAGCTGCAAGCCTTGAAAAGCAGATTGCCGCTTTGGAGGAAGAGATCGAAGATCTCCGCGAACAGAAAGGTGGTATCGAGGAAGAAATCCAAACTCTTCAGAACAAGATCATGGAGGTCGGTGGTGTGCGGCTCCGTGGACAGAAGGCCAAGGTCGATGGCCTCAAGGAGCAGATCAACCTATTATCTGAGGAGATCTCGAACGCTGAGGTCGGCAAGTCAAAGAATGAGAAGCTCATCACGAAGCATTCGAAAGCCCGCGCCGAGGCGGAGAGAGAGCTGGAGCATGTTGCCGAGGAGCTTGAGAAGCTGAACGAGGATGTGGCCAACCAGGCTAGTGACGCATCTGGATGGAGGCAAAAGGTGGAGGAGGGCCAAGATGTAAGTTATGGTGTAGTATCAGCTTCAAAGCAATTGGCTAACTTGTGACAGGCACTGGAAACCAAGAAGGAAGGCCTCCAAGCCATGAAGACTGAGCTTGATGAAAAGGTCGCTGAGCTGAACGAGTCTCGAGCCACGGAGATTGAGATGCGCAACAAGCTTGAAGAGAACCAGAAGGCTCTCGCGGAGAATGAAAAGCGCGGGCGTTACTGGCAGGACAAATTGTCCAAGCTGACGCTGCAGAACATCAGTGATCTGGGCGAGGAGCAACAGGCCACCGAACTTCAGGTGTACACCAAGGATGAGTTGTCCGAGATGAACAAGGAGTCGTTGAAAGCCACCATCGCTGTTCTCGAGGAGAAGACTCAGAACGCGTCCGTTGACCTGACTGTCATTGAAGAGTACCGCCGCAGAGCGGCTGAACACGAGGCTCGCTCGGCCGATTTAGCCACTGCTGTTGCATCGCGAGACAGTGCTAAGGCTCGTCTTGACGGTCTCCGGTCGGCCCGCTTGAACGGATTCATGGAAGGCTTCGGTATAATCTCCCTTCGCTTGAAGGAGATGTACCAGATGATCACCATGGGAGGTAACGCCGAGTTGGAGTTGGTTGACTCGCTCGATCCCTTCTCCGAGGGTATTCTGTTCTCTGTCATGCCACCGAAGAAGAGTTGGAAGAACATCGCCAACCTGTCTGGTGGAGAGAAGACATTGTCCAGTTTGGCGCTGGTCTTTGCTCTGCATCACTACAAGCCCACGCCTCTCTATGTCATGGACGAGATTGACGCCGCTCTTGA